AAGCAATAAAAAATCAAGATAGATATATAAATAAGCAAGCTATCAGTTTAACCAATTTTTTAAAAAATATTTCCCATTTTTGTGCTAAAGAAACTGATACCAGTCTCATCCATACTGGAATACAATCAATTTAAAATGTAGACAATTTCCTAGGATCTCAGCCATAGAGACTCAATATTTTTTTGGCTCTAGCAAGGCAAAATGATCAATTTCCATTTGGAAAATTGCCAGCCTACTTCGTGAAAATTAGACTATATTATTAATAAGATTATAATTCAAAGAAATTACAGCCACAACATCAGGGGGTTGTAAAAGAAATTCAAGAGTGTTAGAGACTTCATCTGTGGGAAATTGGAATAAGAAATGTATTATAGGAAAAAAAGAAATCACCTTTGCTGAGCTGGAAAATAGTAAAGCAAACGGCCTTTATGACATCGAGAGCGAAAGAGTATTTGTTCAAGACCTTCATCTTTGTGCATGTTCATCGCTCTAGATACTGTTAGTGCTCATAAAAAGAAATTAATATAATCAATATTGGTCAAGCCAGCAATATAAACAACAGATATTTTTGTAAATAAGATTCTTCCCCTAGTGCAGAAGAAGACCACTTCCAGGAACTCTCATAAAACTAGCTCCTATTTCGGTGTGGAACTTCATGAAATACACAGGGAAAGGGGAGAAAAGCCATCTCTAGTCATATATTAAGTTACTGTCAAGAGGTTCGATGTCCAGAATGCAAGTCATTATCATTGCATCATAATATGAAAGATAAGTTCAAGGGGAATTTACCATATTGATCACAGTGATATGCCAGCAGCAGCCCAACTTCAAGGATCAGCTTTCCAAGAGCTTTAAAAGCTACAGCAGTACAGACCAGTTATTATATTCCATAAAAACCTTATATCAGATGATAGAAACATAAGTTGAGGACAAAAATCAATAAATAAATGAAGACTACTCTTATATTTGCTTACAGCAATTCATGATATCCTATAAGAAAAATCTATATATGCATAAGTTCCAATAACCTTCTTTCTTACTAAGAAAAAGATATTAGAGAGAAAAAAGGACAACAAGACTTCAGAAAACAAGTAAATGTAACATGAAAGTCACTCTCTTATACATTACATTTTCAGTTAACACAGATCCATGCCAAACACAAACAAAATGCTTTAACTGAAGAACTATTTTGGTAAAGGAGAAATGACTAGCCAACCTTTAATCATTATGAACACAAGTTAGTTGAAGCACCCAATTATTTTCAAATATCATTGAAAAAAAATATTTTCAGAGTGAAGAAAGGACGCAAAACATATGCAAAGGTGACTTCTGTCATATGGCTAACAGTGCCTGATTGGCATGCAAATTAAAATCATAAAAGGCAAGAACAAAAGTGATGGTAGATCATTATCAGACTCCACATAAACAAAGCAAGTGACTTACAAGAAAGATTATAGCTGTCTTTTGCTACCAAGATGGTTCAGATGCTAGTTAAATGAAGCTGATAGTGTTATACCATAAAAAAAAAATAATAATAATAATAATAAAAAAGGAAGAAGAAGAAGGAGAAGAAGATGAAGAAACTGATAGCTTTCAGTTATAACACTGCTCACATGGTATGCATATCAAATATTTTTTTTTTTTGGACAACCGAGAACCTGGGGAAAGTAGGCCCACTGGACCTCACCCTCCTTGCCAAACTCGGGGTGACTGACTATGCAGGCTACAGCCAGCATCAGGCAACCTGGGATTCTCTCAGTGGCAAGGTTTGAACTTGAGACCTGTGCCCAACCCACACATCCAAGCGTCATCCTTACCACTGAGCCACACCCTGTGCGGGAAAGGAATTCAAAGTTTTAAATATTAGTTTGATAATGGTAATCCTGAATGTTATAAGCAACACCAGACAGGATATAGATGAATGACCTCACCAGACAGGGTAATTTGATGACACTTTGCAACAAAGAAAAATAATATATAAAATGAGAAAGACTACCTGCTTCAAGTTCTGGAAGTGCAGTATGAGGCCATATATTTGTTCCACAATATGATGGATACCTACAAGGAAAAAGAGGTAACAAAATGGTTGTCTGAGAACAGTAATGCTTTAACCTTGAATAGGTAAAACAATTAACTGTAAAAACTATCAAGCTAATTCAATAGTTCAACTGTAAGAAGAGAAAAAAGTTAGAAATGAAGTGCAGAGAGCAAACAAATTCTTGTTCTAGACTTTACCTTCAAAAAGTCTTTTCCTAACCATTTCTATTTTTATCAGCAAAGGAAGCCAATGCTAAGCTATTGAAGGGATTTGAAACCCCAACCTTCATCCTAGAATCCAGGTTTTGCAGTTAATGGATATCAACTTGGTTAAACTCTTTTTGGTAGTTACTCTCCTAACCACAAAACAACTTTAAGAGCACTTCTCAAAAATAGACAATATACTTGAGCACTAAAATTAGACAGATATTTTACCAACAGACCATATATCTATATGTACACACACACGCGCGCGCGCGCGCGTATATTCTTGTAACCAAATTTCAAAAAATCTTTTCCTGGACATTAAACATCTTCACCAGTGCTTTGGCAAATGGACAAAATGCTGGAGCACTAAAAATATGATAGATATTCCAGCTTTATCCATATTTACCGTTGAATCAAGAATGAATCAGTTGTTGGCACATCAAGTATTGGATTTGCATAGTACGAGCCTTTCAGCACATCTGCAAAACATTAAATGGGAATTAGTTGAAAATATTGAAAGAGAAAAGGACAAAAGGACCCTTTTTAACAAACTAATTGGAGCATAAAGTAAGCTTAGCATCAAAATTCAACCAAAGAGGGAGAAGAATAGACACAGTCTAGGCCACCTGGCACCTTTATACCACTTCATAAAAAAATTAAAACACATAAAGCAAAGTGGGAACTCAAATTTGAAACTGATATACTTTGGCATGTGATTGGAACAGGATGACTCTATCCAGCAACTTTTGTTCATAAATTTTCTATCAGATATGGTAAGAACTCAAAAGAGCTGAGATCTGAAGATAAATTGAAAATATAGAAGCAATTAGTGCTGCATATTCTAATCCTCAAGGATAGAAACAGTCTGCCGTTCTCACAATTCTTATGCAACCTTTGGTAGCTGAAGTACCAAATAGCAGTTTTAAATGCAGGCACC